CGTCCCCACCCACACACACACACACACACACACACACACACACACACACACACACACACACACACACACACACACACACACACACACACACATATATATTCCAAATTCTTCTTATATATAGTTATCACTTCCATATTATATATATATATATATATATATATATATATATATATATATATATATATATACGTCCCACCTCGGGAAACCGGGTCTCTGGACGAAAAACGAAGATATATATATATATATATATATATATATATATATATATATATATATATATATATATATATATATATATATATATATGAACTATCCAGGCCAAATGTAACAAAACAAACATTAATTGACGCATGTCTAATTGTCTACTGCATATTTTCCTATTCGGCAGTGATATCTGGATAGTGAAAAATGGCCGGATATTCAGCCGGAGCCGGAGCTAAGCTTCGGTGCAACCCTAAAACCTAGTCTACCTGCTTTATAACCATGTGCACCACAAAACATATCATTATACCCACCTCAGCGTCAACAGCAAATAAACGTTTCACATTGTTCATCGCCATTACCTTCAATACCAGACATACCATTGCTTTCACCAGCACCAATCACGATCAACAAACATCTATGGCAATCCCACGAATGCAATCACGACACAATGCAGAAAACACGAACACAACTCAACCGAACATGCTAACATCACAACAATGCGCATAAACTATTAACACTGCTATGCCAACCATTCCACCAACACAAAGAGCACTACAACTTATTCAACCAGTGTCGCCACTCGCGACCCCATCTTTCACATGAACAACAATCAGCGTTACATTTTCAATCAGATGTTAAATCACCAATACCAATATCTATATAATCTATAACAACAACCAATGCATAATAACAAACATGCAACAATAAGCAACATGCAAACACACCAACAAAAAATGTTTCAAACACCATCCATCCATTCATTATTATTATTACCGGTATAAAATGTTCCAAAGCAACAATAAAACATAAAAATAGTACCTAGGTTACACAACCTCTAGTTTTTTGTTTTCAGCTTCCAATTTTTCTAGGACGTCGATAAGTCTTTCATCTGAAACATCATCATCGAGACTTATATCTGAAGCAGATGATGAAGAAGATGATGTTGAAGATGAATCAAAAGCATCATCATCATCATCAGTTCTCATCATGTGCAACTCTGAAATATCTT